TGGTCTCCTGGCATCTCAGCAGCAGCCACTGGTTAACTGTGTTACTCCACACGTGAAATTGGTTTGCTGTGTAGGGGAAGCTGCTACAAGCTGAGCCACCTGAAACACAGAAGCAGCTATGGCTTTTGATGTGCTTGGTGTCTCTGTGCCTTTCAGATACATCTGCCCAAAGCAATGTGCAGCTAGTGGCTCTTCACATTGTCTCCCTGTTCTTTATTTCTTGGTGCATGGCATGTTTCTTAGACAAGAGCTGGTGTTCAGTCATGATTCCATCGCTGACTACAATGATGCAGGCAGAAATAAAATCCCAAATTTGCCACCCATACGTGTCAGTGTATAACTCAGCATCGTACCTTGATGCATGTCTGGAGTGAGTAATAATTGCAAGCACTTAAGTGGCAAAGTGTACTTGCCCCATGGAATATGCCCTTTTCCATAACGCGGATGTGTTTCTGGCACAGTATTATGATAGGTATGCATGGTTTCTCCTTTCAAACCTTGGAAGAACTGGTATTGTGTTAAAAGTGCAGAGGCTCAGAAAGCAGAGCTAAACGCACAACCAGCTCAGTGCTGAGTTTAACATGGGTTGGAAATCAGTGCTGGCTCCAGGATATTGGTTTGTTTGTTTGTTTGTTTGTTTGTTTTAAATAAAGTTTCATAAAAAAATTTCACAGTACAATAAAAGACACACCAACTCACACCAAGATAACAAAAAGAAAAGAAGAAAGAAAAATATAAGATTCTCTATCACAAGTATATCCCATTTTTTGTCCCATACAGAAAATGATGTACCCTCCCAGTTCTCCCTTTCCCTGTCTCTCACACAAGGTCCTGCAAACTATCGATCATCTTCATCTGCATGCAAATATAACAAGTAGGAATATTAAGAGAAATCATTCTGAGCCTGGATAGCTCACTTGGTTTGAGCATGGTGCTGATAACACCAAGGTTGCAGGTTCAATCCCCGTATGGGACAGCTGCATATTCCTGCATTGCAAGGGATTGGACAAGAGAATCCTCAGGGTCCTTTCCAACTCTACGATTCTCTGAAATAATAATAGAATGCCGAAAGACAGAAAGATAAGAATAATAACAAAATACTAAGAGAAAGAGAGATAGATAGAAATGACTTCAGCTATCCATCTGTCAGTTGTTAGCAAGTGTTCCTCATCCTAATCCGATGTTCAGTTTAGAGTAATATCCATTTAGTCCTCCCTCTGCTGATGTTTTCCCAGTCTTCAATCCAGGCAGCGCTTACTCATTCCTTTTGCTTTCCATCCAAGAAGTCCAAGAGAGGTTCTTCAGTTATATGTAATTATAAGAGTCATGGCTCCAGGATTTTGGTTGTTCTCTGTCTGACAAGGACCCTGGGGGCCCCTGAAATTGGAAGTGGTGAGACATGTCTGATCTCACTACCCCACGGAGCATGCCCTGCCCACCATTTGCAAGATATGTTTTTAGCTGTTCCCAATATAGTGGTACCTCAGGTTACAAACACTTCAGGTTACAGACTCCGCTAACCCAGAAATAGTGCTTCGGGTTAAGAACTTTACCTCAGGATGAGAACAGAACTCGCACGCTGGTGGCGCGGCAGCAGCGGGAGGCCCCATTAGCTAAAGTGGTACCTCAGGTTAAGAACTGTTTCAGGTTAAGAACGGACCTTCGGAACGAATTAAGTTCTTAGCCAGAGGTACCACTGTACATGGGCAGCTATAATTGAAAGAGGGGGGGCTTATGGTGGCGCAAAGGGGCCACCCCAACTTGGTATGAACAATAAACCTTGCAAGGTCTGTCTTTTGCCAGCACAGACAGCTCATTAGCTCAACCATTCCAGTCTGCAGAAGCAAACACCAGGCATGTGAATGCAGAGCAGAGACTGCCACATGTTTCCATCTTATTACAACTCAGAGGAAATAAAATGGAAGTGGACTTCAAAAATCTTGAATGCCACAGCAAAATGCCCCCCCCCCAAAAAAAACCGGGGGGGGGGGGGAAGCATGCTCAGCATGTGCACATGTGTGTGAACACACACCATGGCTCCGCTGGAGTGTGTGTGTGGTACTTTATTAGCAGATATAGGCTGCCCATTTAACATATACAGTTACTATAGCAACTGAGGTTTCCTTAGCAACAGTGCCAGAAAATAATCTGGTACCAATTAAAAATAAACTGTTAGCAAGGGAGGGGGGGCAGCAGTAGGAGGAGTAGAATTTCTGTGAATTGGTTCCTTTCCCTTGTTGCTTTTTCATCCCAAGGACTCCCAAGCACTGGCAGAGACATGAAATAACGTTTTTCTTCTTGGCACCAGCCAGGAAGGTGCACTGGGTCACGTTGCCCCCTCTTGGTGGCTGAGGTTATTCTCCTAAAATTAATAAGGTGGAAAGTATCTACTCAGCAGTATGAGCCTAAGCCTCCCTATTAAAGCAAGCTCCCTAGAGAGAGGAGATGAGGGCTCCTTTCCTCTATATGTCATGTCATTGCAGAGCACAGCTATCTAGTCTTTATTAGCATACTGATTAAAGCCAGCGGCAATATAGGCTCCAGGGGAACTTCTTAATGTGTTGCCAGGATGCATAAACCTTGCATGCTGTATTAGGAAAAGCAAAGTTCTATTGTCACGAGAGTGCTTTTTTATCAGAATGTTTTGTGCCTCACCTTATCTCCATTCCCTCCAAAGCAGTCTGGCATGGAAGGGTTAACGGAATTGGGGAGCTTTTGAAAGACTCCAGGGAGGGTGCCCTCTCTCCTTTTGAAACTTGTAGCAATGTGCTGGTGTCAAACTTTGTGTGTGTGTGTGTGTGTTGTTCCATATTATATCAACATTTTTTTGTCTTCGGTTTCGTTACGATGAAATCCCAGACCTACAGTTAGAGAGAATTGTGAGTTCCATTTTTTGTAGCGTCTGTTCCTCCAGGGAACAGTTTAGGAACAGACACAAGTGAGATGGGGATTGCATTATATTTCCTGTTTTGCCACTGCTGTAGGATTCTCTGATATATTTTTTTAATGATCAATGAAGAACTGTTTATAAAACTTGGGATGATCTACATATTGACATGGATGGGTACAGTATACAGGGGTTTCTAAAACACCCACCCACCCACACCCACACCCACACCCACACAATTATCCTTTCAAACTCACAGTTAATTGTAAAGTCTGCTAAGAGTTTGTTTTCATGATTGGTTATCCTGGAATAATTAACTTCTCAGCTAACTCCATCTTCTGTTTGCTGACACATTCAGAGAAGTTAATCAAGGCTGAAGCAATCAGTGGTTTAGTCATGATGGCCACATGACCCAGAAAGCTGTCTGTGGACAAACGCCGGCTCCCTCGGCCTGAAAAGCAAGATGAGCGCCATACCCCATAGTCGCCTTTGACTAGACTTAACCATCCACGGGTCCTTTACCTTTAGGTAGATTTGTATAAACCCAGGTGTGAGGAACCTCAAAGCTGGGGGCAAATGTGTCCCCCAAGTCTCTCTCTCTCTCTGTCACTCAGGGCTCTCCCCAAGCACTGCGGCTCATCAGCCCAGCTCTGTGCCCTTATTGGGTGCTTTTGTCTTTATGGGATGTGCCTTTGAACTGGGAGAAACACCTATTGCTTGCTTTGGTGGAACATGGAACAGGTGTGCCTGTATGCTGTAGAAACCTTGTGGCTGAAGTGTAGTCCTTTGTATCAGGCATAGGCAAACTCGGCCCTCCAGATGTTTTGGGACTACAACTCCCATCATCCCTGGCCACTGGTCCTGTTAGCTAGGGATGATGGGAGTTGTAGTCCCAAAACAACTGGATGGCCGAGTTTGCCTATGCCTGCTCTGTATGAAGGCAAATCACATCCATAGCTTCACCCACTTTTGCTTATGGCCTCGCCCAACACTGGCATGTATCCCCTGGAAGGGTGGCCTTGGGCCCAAAAGGAGTTCCCCACCTCTATAAACAGATGCAGATAGAATAAGAAAGAAAGAAAGAAAGAAAGAAAGAAAGAAAGAAAGAAAGAAAGAAAGAAAATTCCCAGACATGGTGAATTTTGGTGAAAGAAAGGCACTCTTCACATGTGCAGAGGCATCGTATACATAGGTTGGAATGAAAAAGTAAACAAATAAAAATAATTGAATGGTGGTGGTTGTTGTTTGCCTTAAACTTTCTGTCTTTTGTGCCCCCCCCCCATCCCCTTCCCCCAGTGACAAAGCTGCAGGTCAGCAAATCCAAGCGGAGCATCACCCTCGTGGAGAACAAGCCCATTCCCCTGAACTGCTCTGTGAAGTCTCAGACCAGCCCGGACTCCCACTTTGCCGTCCTGTGGTATGTCCACAGACCATCGGACACAGACGGGAAGCTCATCCTGAAGACCACCCACAACTCTGTCTTTGAGTACGGCACCTATGCTGAGGAAGAGGGGCTGAGGTGGAGGCTGCAGTTTGAGAGGTCGTTGTCCGGGGGGCTCTTCAGCCTCACAGTCCAAAGAGCCCAGGTCAGCGACAGCGGCAGCTATTATTGCCACGTGGAAGAGTGGCTGCTCAATCCCAACCATGCCTGGTATAAGCTGGCTGAGGAAGTGTCTGGCCGGACGGAAGTCACTGTCAAGTTGCCAGGTATAACTCACTTGCCATGTCTGAAGCTTGCCTAAGACTTCATGTCTATAGCTGTTTCCTGAACCGCAGCAACTTCCTGTCTGCACACTCTGCCTGGCAAATTCCCAAAGGAAAGTTAAGCCTCTGTTCCCACCATAAGCATGTATCTTGGCCCCACTGCATGTTTGCTGTACGGACGCATCCGTGCGGGAGTGTCACTGTAGCCCCATTTCCATTCTTCCGCACGTCGCAGGAAATAGGAGAGCAAATCTGAGAGAAAGAAAGGGCAATATGCCTTCAGTAAATTCTCGCAGCAAGATCATGTTCTCCTGCATATTCATACTCTGGCAACCTATGTATAGCTCAGGATCTCCTGCTTCTCAATAGCAATCAGCAATCACAGACAGGGTGGCGTTGCTCTCTTGCCTTCCCAGTGCCAAGCATCCATGCCAGTTCCTGAGAGAGAGGAGGGCGAGGCATGGGTTGGCTCAGCGCAGTGCGGGTTTGCCAGCAGGAGCATCCGAATAGCCCCACCACCATACCTGCACTGCGCTGAGCTCCCCACACTTCCCCCCTCTCCCACTCAGGAACTGACATTGATGCTTGGGGTGGGGAAGGCAAGTGAGCAACACCACCCTGCCCTGCCTGCACCAGACTGCTGCTTTTGCTATTCGAAAGTATTTCAGGACACAACTGATAATACTGTTTGCAGACTGTGGTTCATGGGGAAAGCCTGTAAACGGCCTTCTCCAGCCTAGCTCCTCACCTGGATGTTTTAGACTCCAGCTGCCATCAGCCTTGAGCCAGTGTGGGAAGATTGGAGTTGTAGTCCAAAACATTGGGAGGGCACTAGATTGGGGACGCGGGTGGTGCTGTGGTCTACACCACAGAGCCTAGGGCTTGCCGATCAGAAGGTTGGTGGTTCGAATCCCCGCGATGGGGTGAGCTCCCGTTGCTTGGTCCCTGCTCCTGCCAACCTAGCAGTTCGAAAGCACATCAAAGTGCAAGTAGATAAATAGGTACCACTCTGGCAGGAAGGTAAACAGTGTTTCCATGTGCTGCTCTGGTTCGCCAGAAGCTGCTTAGTCATGCTGGCCACATGACCCAGAAGCTGTCTGCGGACAAACGCCAGCTCCCTCGGCCCAAAGAGCGAGATGAGCGTGCAACCCCAGAGTCCGCAACTGGACCTAAAGGTCAGGGGTACCTTTGGGGAAGGCTGTTATACAGGTTGGGGAAGGCTGTTATAAAACCTCTGGCTTTGAGAATGCCTCTGTTTCTGACTACAGGAGTCTAGATTTTCATGGTCCTGGTGCATGAGCAAGGAAGTGTTTCCCCCTGTTTGCTCAAACAGGCTTTAATGGAAGGAGACGGTCTTCTATGCCTCTGAGATGGTATCTCATTGATAGTGATCAGATGGAGAGGTATCTGTTTGCTTGGGAAAGCTCTGTGCCAAATTCCTCCCCTCCTGTACACTTTAATTTTATTTATTGCCTGGGTCCCAATGGTGATGTGGAGTGATGGTTTCTGTTCTCGTGTGCTGAGCTCTTAGAAATGAGAGTTTAATGAAGAGGGAAGTTGGCTGCTAAGGGGCGATCCTTTCCCTGACAGGAATGGAAAGTGAAGGAAGTAAGGAAGTGTTGAATAAATCAATGAACCGCCAGCCAACAAATAGAGAGGCAGAAAGGTGAGGTCTATTATAGAGCAGAGCCTGGGATGGCTGGCAATTCCCAGCAGCTAAGCATTGCTCCAGAAAGCTTTGTGTTGACATCTAAACATTTGTCCTTGAAGGACAACCTGCTTTTTCATATCAGGCCCAGCAGAGTTGGGAAAGAACAACAGGTCACTGTTTTGACACAGGAAGCAAAGAGGAAGGAGCCAGGGCCATTTGCTTTCTCAGCATTGAAAAATAATCCTCAATATTACAAAAGCACATAGGGAAGTTTCCCACAAGTTAGGCTGGGACCTGAATTTCCAGGCCGTACAATATCAGGGTTTCTGTGTGTGCCAGGGGATTCAGTAACTGGCCCAAGGTGTGGCTAGTCCTCAGTAACTAGCTGGCGCTGCATTTGGAGAGCTTCAAGTGGTGTTTAATGCTTTCACTGCGATGGAGTACATTGTGGCATTTTGCATTTCAGTCCTTGCATTTGTTGAAGAAAGTCCTCTCAACCTCAGTTCTGTAGAAAGAGGTGAGAAGCCTGCAAGAAAAATCAGAGCCCATGCTATTCAAGAAATCACATTGTGATGTGGTTGGCACTGTAGAGCAAATCACACTAAATCGGTATAAAAGAGCTCCAGGCAGCCAGTCTGGAGGAAGTTGTGTCCAATTAAGGCCAGCTGTAAAGGAAGTTCCTAATCCCTGGTGATGACCTGCTGCTGATATTCCAAATAGTCTGGTTTGGTACATTTGCAATCCCTAAATCTTATTAGTAGGTATTGTGTCTGCAGATTGCATGGAGGACAAAAATGCCTTATTGTTCTTCCAATTTCAGGGCCACCCTGAACAGTGTGCGGAGCACAAAGGAACCCAATGACCTTATCCTGGAGGGATCTCTTTAGATTAATACCATTAAAAGCAAATATATAATGCTGAGCTGAAGCAGTATAAAACAAAGACTACTGCTTAAGTCCTGTTGCATTGTCAACTGGTTTTCTTTTTAATTTTATGTTGTTGCTTTTCCTCTTCTCCCCCCCACCCAAAAAAACCCCCAGATAACCTTTTGGAAGTGAACCAGACTCAGAAGAACATCACAATCCTGGAGAATGAATGGGTGACCTTAGAGTGCCTGGTCACCAACCGGAGCAGCCAGGCTTCCCAGTTGTCTGTGGAATGGTATGTGTGGAAATCGGGCCACCCGGAAAAAGAAGCAGTGCTCAAGCTGACTCGCCAGGCCACCCTGTTATACGGAGAGCTGTCAGCCCTGAACGATCTGAAGAGCCGGCTGCGCTTGGAAAGCCCCTCTCCAGGCCTCTACCTGCTCACCATCCAGAACATGACTGTGCAGGACAGCGGGACCTACGACTGCCGGGTGGAGGAGTGGATACTGGGTCCCACAAACGCATGGTACAAACGGGCAGAGGACCTGTCTGGGCTGACAACCATTGTGGTGAAACAGCCAGGTAAAGTTATCTGTAGGTCCGGGGCTTTGGGTCACCAAGAAAGAAAAGCTCAACCACTGCTTATGGTGAGGGAACTTGCTGTGAGAAACATCCAGCTGCTATAATATACAGAATGCCTCTCCCTACTGCACACCATATAGATACAGGAACTGCAGCTTAATATTTGGAGAAAGACAAGTTGCCTAGGCTGAGTATTTAGGGGCAGCTGTATCTTTGTTCTCTCCCTACTTCTGTCCTCTCCCCTTTCCCTCTACCCCACAGTCCTTGCTCCCCCTTCCAGGTTTCGGGAGCTTTTTACCTCCTCAGTTATTTTTCTGTTTGTTCTGCAAATCTTGAGGTTTTCCCCCAAGCATGCTTTACCACCCTCTTGTGCATGGGCGGTGCTCTTTTGGCTACGTAAATATTGGCACTCGCCCTTTAAGCTGGGGAATAGGAGTAGGGACATGGTCAATATCTTTCACCTTTCTTTTTCTGCCTAGATTCATCACACCTTAACATTTACAGCTAAGCCACTAGGATGCAGCTGGTAATACATACTTTACCTTCTTCAGGACCCTCCACAACCTCTGTTCTAAATATGAAACAGGGAATGCAGTCGTGTTCCAAACACAGAGATCCTTTACTAGGATTTTGAAATTTGCCACCTCTCTTCCCTGGTACTGAGGAAGGGTCTGTCATCTCCTCCCCCCTTTGCAAGGTCTCTAAGCCCCTAAACCCCAGAGCTTGACAAGAGCAAAGGAAGCTTAGGCATGTTTTGAAAACAAGGTCATCTTGTTTTGATTTAATGCATTAAATGGGTTTTTTTTGGGGGGGGGAGAGGGTTATAAAACAGCTTTCTGTTTACAAACTCACATTGGTTTGTTGTGATATTGTGTGTGAGTTAATGGGAGATAATTGTATGCTTTGGATGCTTGATTGGCTGCTCAGGTTAAGATTTTAACCTCAGAGTTCATAGGAAGGAAAGATGAGGACACAGTCATTTTGACTGGTGAGATGTCCATGCGGAAAGTTTGACAGTGAATTTACTGGCAACACAATTTCCCACAAGGGTAACGTTTTACATTAGGTAAAATGAAAGTACAAAAGAAATTTCTAAGAACTGGGGAAATAATGTGGCTTTGAAGTGCTTAAATTAAGTCTGTACGCATTTCAGTCACAGCTTCTAACGTGCAGCGCAAGTTTAAGATGGTGAAATTTGGCCTCTGAAATACCCTTCAAATTGATGCAGCTGCTTGCAGATGCCTCTCACAGTCCCTGTGTGCTTCAGCCAGACTGGTTGGTGCCTGTGGAATGTCCAAAGCGTAGCTTGCGATTGAATAAGATTTTCCAGGGCTGAGGACAGGATTTGCAAGCCAGCTCTTGGGAGAAAGTGAAAATCTTATCACTAACATCTTTGCTAGAGAAACATTTTTCAGGCCAAAGAAGAAAGAACTAATTGTCTCTGTGGGGAAAGAGTTGTCTCCAGGCATTAGTAATTGCGAACGCTGCAGACATTGCAACTAAGCTTCCAAAATCTTCCTTTTGGGCTGAAAGTTCTCAGATGACCTGTTACAGCCCCAAGATAGACCAATGGTTCTAATTTGAGGGTGGAAACCTGAACAGCTACTTTTGAGTTATGAGGAATAAGAGGTGGTGGGAATCATTATGCCCCATAAACTTTTTGACTCACTCACACGGTTCAAAAATAATTAAATGTGTATAAAGGTACACAATGTGTACAAAGGTACACATCAGGAATTCTTGTCCTGTCCATTTACTTTTATGAATTCTCTGCTTCTCCCAAAAACATCCTTTGAGGCTGTTGATCAGATTTTCCAACCCTAAGGCCAGTGAAATAGTACGAACTCTGAAGGAGGGGGAAAGATTGATGAGGCTTTATTAATATACAGTTGGTTGTATTCTTAATTATATAAGAAATGCTTTTGTTTTTTAATAAGTGCAATGTGAATGTACAGTATAAGTATTGTCATATTTCTAATAACGTATCTTATATTCCCCCACCTTATGTCTTGCAGCAAATGTTACCAATGCACTATATTGAGCAGTCCTTGTGCCTATTGCTGTGTTCTAGAGCTTATGAAATTCCACCCTTGAAAATGTTTGGCTGCGTTTTGGTGCCAGTTCCTATGTCCCAGGAGTGGCATCTCTGCTGCTCCCTGGGGTCCTATCCCACACAGCTCCAGTAATGGTGAACAAGACGTGGGGGTGGGGAGGGGCTGTGTTATAAATAATGCCCTTACTGCAGCCCTTAGTCATGATCTCCCTCATTTGAATGTTACTAGAGGTGTCAGGAGCCTAGTAGCCATGCCCTTCCTGTTAATGCAAATACCACCCTTCAACAGGATACCTCAAGCTTATTTGTAAGCTACTCTAGGAGCTCTTTCTGGCTGGAGAGCAGAATAATTTTTTTTGCAGAATCTCCAGTTACATCATGACTTTCTATAATGGTGGCTCTTGGAGTAAAGAATAGGCCACACAGCAACTTCTTGTCTTTCTCAGA